AATCTGCGGCAACTGTGTGATGCCATCATGTCAATATGGACCAAACTCCCTGAGGAATGCTTCCAGCACCTTGTTGAATCTATGCCACGAAGAATTGAGGCAGTTCTGAAGGCAAAAGGGGGTCCAACCCGTTACTAGCATGGGGTACCTAATAAAGTGGCCGGTGAGTGTATATATATAAATATATATATTTATATGCATCACAATTTTAATATTTTTGTTTAAATGTTGTTACATTTTCTGGCTTAGAACCAGTTCATTTATAGTGCACATTCAACATGGTTTTATATAGGCCTAATTAGTTTAATAAAAATATAAAAATAGCTTTACACAAAATGGTGTGTGTGTGTGTGTGTGTGTGTGTGTGTGTGTGTGTGTGTGTGTGTGTGTGTGTGTGTGTGTGTGTGTGTGTGTGAGAGTGAGTGAGTGTGTGTGTGAGAGAGATTTGAATAACAAAATAAAGCCATTTAGCTATTTCATTTGTAAGTGCCCTGACAATATAGTTTTATATAATTAGTTTATTTATTAGGTTAAAAAAAATATAAAATTACCTTAACAAATACTTCAGGAAGTAAAAAATTTTGAGATGCAAATGATACATTTATAATCACTTGAAAGTTAAACTGACCTATGACATCCTGTCACATACAGTTTATTTACATTTAAATGATCTCATGGATGTGGCTGTTGTGGTTCACGGTCATAGTGGCACCAGCTGCTGCAGTAAATGTAGCGTACAAATGACTTTTGACAGTCTTTTTACATTTACCGGCTTTAGATGCATATTGCCCGTTGTGCACAGCAGCCCTGAAGTTACCGAGGTGGCGGTGGAGCCGGGGCTTGGGCCCGTCATCGCTGCTTGCAGCTATATTTAGTTTTTGTTTTTAATACAGCACAGGTCTCCATCTCTAAGATGTCTAAAGAGCACTTAATCTGGAAAACATCTAAATCTGATAAACATATAAGAAAAAGCAGTTTTAATTATATTCTAAATCATAAACATCTTAAAGATGTTTTCTAAATGTCTATTTAACATCTGGTAGGAAATGTCTGACATCTGCTCTTTTACATTTTTGGTGACCTGAACATGTTCGTATGAACCTACTAGTTAAAAGAACCATTGTTTCTTAGTGTAAAGAACATTTGACTAATCCAAAGAACTTTTTTTTCCACTATAAAGAACCTTTTCTCCAATGGAAAGGTTCGGTGGATGTTAAAGGTTCTTCATGGAATCGTAGGCCATGCCAGTAAAGAACCTTTATTTATAAGAGAGCATGCGTTTTTATGTGTTTGTGTTGTGGTGGTTACATGTGCTCTGGTCAGCATCTCTTCTCTTCTGTTCTCTAAATCCTCCTCTGTGTTTCGCTCTCTCCAGCACAATACCAGCACCAGTTGCCCTGCTGGGTCACAGACACATAAAAAAGGTTTTTACTCTGTGAATACGGGACAATGTGCTCCGAACAGAGAACACAGGAGAAGAGAACAGTGTGGTGAGTAAAGAGAAAATCTATACTTATTGATAGGCTATACATTAACTCAAACATTATAACGGTCTGTGTGTGATATTGCTTTTATATTTACTGTATGTAGGCCTACAGTCCCAAGCGGCGCCATTTACGGACATTGACCGCTTGCTCTGAATTAATGACCATAACCTCAGTTCGGTTTGCTAGTGACTGCTTTCTGTTTTAGCCAGGTGACTGCTCTACCTTGAGGCATCATCTGTAACTGCAATAGAAAAGTAGTATGGCATCCAAACTGGAATTCGAGTGAGTTGCATCATAGATAAAACATGTTTATTATAATCAATTCAGACAAGAATAAAAGAGCACTCCTCTCTTTTTCCAGTTCTCAGAGACCAAAGTCGGATGTCAGACATCACACGGATGAAAATTACAAAACAAACGCATGGCATAGTATGGTAAGTGTGTGTGTGTGTGCCTACGTACTTAACTATATTTTGGGGACAAATTTGTACCCAGAAGTGACCAAAACCTGACAAAATCTCCAAAAACCTGTGTGTGTGTGTGTGTGTGTGTGTGTGTAATCTGTATCAACCAGTTGACCTTGTCATTTTCAGACCGCGGCGTTCCATCAAATATCAGAGAATGACGCTTCTCGAAATCCCAACCATCCTCAGTCTTTCCTGGCTCAACAGAGAATGTCTGCGGCACTCAAGGGGATCCGTCTCTGCAAGGACAAACCAAGCTAAGCAATGAACTCTGTTCTAAAAGCAGGCATTCGGGGAATTGGCCAGACACACGGTCACTGGCTCCACCTGCTGGACACTGAATGCTTTCACATGCGCGATTATGCTGCATTCGTTCTAAAAAAGCTGACAATGCTGTTATTTGTATGTATTTTGTCCCACCTGTCTTGATGTCAAAATATAAACACAAATGTGTTCAAGAACGTGAATGGACTTATGAACTTTTATTTTAAATAGCCTACATCGAGTAACCCAGACAGCAACATAGTGCCATCCCACATCTGGTACGCGTGGAACATGTACCAGATGTGGCCCGGATCTGGGCCGACACTATATGTTGCTGTCTGGATAGCCTAAGTGAATTTTAGAAACACTGAAAGAAGGCTGCACTCTTCGACCAAACTATGAGTTTTGTCAGATATAGTGTATTGTTCGCTGGTATTAATTTATCAACATAACTCACCACATTTTTTAGTCTTCTGCAAACATTCCCACGTTCATATGAGATTCCACACGTGTCAAAATAACCGTGTCATCCTCTTTAGCATAAGTGTTTAGCAGGAGAGAGAATGCGCACATGGAGTGGAAAGGGCTTTGAATGAAACGCTTTGTCTTAATTTAAAAGTAGCAGTTATTATAAGCCAAAAAACCCCCGGATCAAATAGATTTGTGGTTTGGATATAGTTCAGTTATAATGGAATAATAACACAAACTGCTATACCATAAAGTTTAATATTGCAATGTTTCGAAGACATTGTCTGGTCAAAACCTATATTAAACTTTTATGGGAGCAGAAAGACAGTGTTTTTTCCCCACTTTTTCAATAGTTTTTTTCATCGAGCACCAATAGCCTGAAATTAACCTGGGTGTTCGTACACTTTGAATTACATTTTGATTGGTGCTCGTGAAATGCTTTGCAGTTTAAATTGACATAGTTTGCAATAAACATTGTGTGGTTTAGTACAAAATCAAAGCTGCAAATAAATGGAAGTCAATGCATGTTCGGATCTGGAGTGATTTGAAAAAGATTTAGCTACATCAGGTGTGGCAGATCCTCTTTGAGACGCATATCATCTAAAACAAGAAGTCACTTTGTTTCCCTGCTCCGGCTTGTTCCCTTGGGAAAGTTATGATTATATGATTCAGACTATACTTGTCATGCAGTGTTAACGTAAGGTAGGAAACACTTAGCACCTGAGCTCAACATCTGACTGTTTGAACTTCAGGTGAGCAAAGCCTTCAGAACCTGTGAGAAAGAAACCTGTGTAGCCATAAACACATAAGAAAGTTATTATTGTGCATAATTGTGAAATTAATAACCTTCTCGTAACCATATCAATATTATTAGTGTTCTTGTTGTACAGGTGTGTTTGAGTCTCTCAATTGTCCTCAGTGTGAAAAGATGGATCTCAAAATCATATGTCACTGCTGGAAAGGGTTCAAATGTGCAAAAAAATCCTGGAAAACTTAAGAATGTTCGGGACCTAGAGGATTTTTCTGAAGAATATTGGGCATATTCCCATATTGGGAATATTGGGTTTAACTGCTCTGGACAAACCAGGGACTAAGGAACAACCATCACAAAAAAACATACAAAAAAAAAACAGTCGTGGATCATCCAGGTAATGACACACAGAACGGGGTCATTTTTATAAATTCAACTTTTTTTGTTGTCTTGTCATGTGTAAATATCTTCTAAAATATCTTATATTTTGTATCCCTCTTTTTTTGTTAAAATTATTCACATTTCCACAGATTATGCAAGGGCTGTGTTAACTTTTGAGTAGCACTGTATATATATATATATATATATATATATATATATATATATATATATATATATATATATATATATATATATATATATATTTAAAAACTGTAAAATCTAAGTAGTTACTTAAGACTTAAGAAAAGCATGCAAACCGGATTGCCTAAAAAATCTAAGTAAAGTGAAATAGGAATAATGTTGTACTGATAGGTATAACATCATTGTTGTTACCATTGTTGTGTTTTGCACGCTGAATGTTGAAGTCAGTGAGTGACTCTCAAGCATGGTCGATTGCAAGATATTGTCACAAATATAGGGATTATATCAACACAATTAAAAGTTTCACAAGGTGTTTATGACATAAGTGTTTGCAATACAATTTTAAAAGAGCATTATGAAGGGAAGTATAAACAGGTTACTTCTACAAGGTGACCTCACTTCATTAATGATTTAGTCAGAAGTTACAGTAGGTCACATTTTAAAAGCAACCTATTTATTACTTCCCTTCCTTTGAAATCAAATAACTGTGATTTCTTTTTTGCATCGCTGCATCGGGAGAGAATAACAATATTAAAAAATTAAGTTCCAAGTGCCCAACCAAAGGGAACACATCATAATGGTGAGTTCAAACAAGAAAATCAACATCAGTTTATAAAGTCAGTTTATGTAGCCTAATGTTCTCTTAAATTTTTCCGTTGACAATTCAACATTAAAGATGACTTTGGGAAATGAGTGAATGAAACTAGAGAAAGATAACTGCAGAAGTGGAGGAAATTAGTAAAAAAAAGTAGGCTATATTAAGAATTGCCACTCAGAAACAATCATTCTTAATCTTAAATTGGGTTTTCTGAGTAAACAAGGCATAGTGTGAATAGTGCACAGAGTAGGCCTACTATAGCCTAAGCTTATTTTTGTCCTTTTTTTCTTGTAAAACGAAAAAAGAAGTTAAGATTTTCGCTTTGGTTAAAAAAACAAACAGCATCTATTGATGCAGCTGAACGTGTAATTTAAAGAGTGAAATAAAAATGTACTGATATGTCATGTTAAAAAGGCTAAATGTGAAAAGCACAAGTTCCTCAGTTCCCACGGGTGTGATATGAAGAGATGAGATGAAAGCTGCACTTGTCACAGCCTCACGAAAACTCACCTGTCACTCACAGCCATTATCTGAGGACAATAGCTATGTTCACACTTATAATAAAGCAATGATGAGCAGTCATGAAAGAACCCGTTAAGAGTATATAAATGGTCAGCTCCGGCTTCATGTCCACAACGACAGCAAGGTGACCATACCTTGAACCGCGAGGTTATTCAACAAGCGATATCCTTCAGAGAGTTTTTCTTCAGCTAAATCGATTCGAGATAAACCTTGAACAAATATTCTATAATTTTGAAAAAAAAATGACCAGCTTTTTTATCCTGTTGTCAGTGTTCACTTTGGCTGGCGCTTTCCCTCGCAGCGCCTTTCAACGGGACTTTCACCGACACATGGCGAAAGATGTGGAATCCTCCGGGAATGGACCAGACGAACCTATTCGGGGATCTGTTAGAGTTGTCAAACTAAACCCTCATCATTTTATGCGACGGGCAACCAGTAGTCATGTGCCGTCCAAAAACTCCCCGAGTCGAGGCGCGTTTCCCGCGTTCTTGGCCCTCGGACGTGCTGGTCCGTCAGCCCTGACCCGTACCAAACCCACGGGCCTGCTCCCTCCGGTGAGCGCGAGCGGCACCGGCGCCGGCGCAGACGCGAGGAGGAAACAGGGTCTCGAGATGTGGCAGAAAGTCATGCACAAAAGCGAGCGAAGCAAAGAGGCCGTGGCGCTGCGCATCAACCCCAAAGACATGTCCAAACAGAGCTGTGCCGCGGTGCCCTTCACACAGGTAAGAATTCATTACTGCTCGGCGGAAATGTGTTTGTCAACAATGTTAGACACATTTTATTTTTAAGTGATTTTACATAAGTGAGCGTGAAACTTGAAGTTGCCTATTCTGTGACGTCATATATGCTATAGGCCTATACGGTAGGCTACCTATCAATGACACATAAAAAATAAATCCGTAAAATACATCATCTAGTGAATTTACGGACATTTCCGTTAACCCTAAAAGTTAAACACATCGCAATGAAGTGTTTCAAAAATTCAAAATACAGGTAAAACACCTGTAAAAAATAAATACGGAAAAATTCCGTCAAATGAATGCAGTAGCCTATACTGTGCCCTATTTTTACGGATTTTTTAGAGTAGCCTATAGCCTATTTGAAACAAGTTTTAGCCTATATCATTAATAAATTGCATCCTTATGGTATGCAACACAGTAATATTTAATTATGATTTAAGCAAAATAAAAGTAGTGTCAAAGCGACAACATGCACATGTTTGACCATTATGAATTTGCCTATATTTCTGATAAAGGGAATTTGTCATCTCTAGAATTATTGGTTAACATACGATAGCCTATAAATATATGGACACATATCCATGTGATATTGTTTAAATATAATGAAAATTCTATATATAGGCCTGTATAAATCTAAAATGCAATTTAGCTTGACAACACAATGCGTTGTATGGAAAGAATGCAGTGACATGACAGTGGGTAAATTATAATGATTATGATGTCTTAATTTTCAGTGATACAAATCATTATCATCGTCGTTATTGTTATCATTAACTATAGCTGAAACAGTTTGCCTTTAAATCATGAATCTCGACCTTTTTGACTTTTGACTTGATTTTTAGTTGTTTTAGCTTATTTTAATGCTTGCTTTGTCTTATTTTAAATCATTTTAATTCATCTTGAGGACCGGGCCCCGGCCCCTGTTTGAGAAATGTGTTGCTAGTATAGCCTATTACATGTTTGTTTGTGTTCACCGTTCCCAGCGCATAACGGAGGACGGCTGTGAGACGGTGACCGTTCACAATCATCTCTGCTTCGGTCAGTGCAGCTCCATGTTCGTCCCGTCCAGTGGAGAGGCTCGTGCACCAGGAGCTCCGTGCACGCGCTGCGGCCCCTCTAAATCGCGCTCCGTGCGCGTGCCGCTGCGCTGCGGGACTGAGGTGCGCGAGAGGCGCGTCATGGTCGTCGAGGAGTGCAAGTGCGAAACTAGCAGTGAAGAGGTCAAAGTGCAGAACACAGAAATGTATCATTTATAACTGAGAAGGTTTCACTTTATACATTATTCTAATATTTAAGTTCACCAATGGTGAGTGAGTGTGTGTGTGTGTGTGTGTGTGTGTGTTTGAGGACTAGGCCTATATAGCCACATAAATGTGAAATATTTGTGTTGCGTGTCTGATAAAAGTGTCCGAAATACGATTCGGGATGTATTAAACACGAGTCCCTGTGAATACAGGGAAAGCGTCTCTGTAAACTACCGTCTGATATTCAGCGGGATCTTTGTGTTAACTGTAATGACGATGCTGTTCATCAGTTTAATGAAGGCTACTTTTATGGCTACGTGTCATTTCATAGTTTCACCAGTAAGTGTCGCGGTTGCATGAAAATGATTTCAGCAATGCATTTTACTTTAGTTCACCCTGCCTAACGAATAGTGTGAAATGGGGTAAATTGACCACTTATGACATTGAGATGACTGTCAAAAGTGGCACAGTTTACTTGACTACAACCTTGTGGATGGAGTTATATTTGTTGCATTTTGTGGAGATGTAGGCCTATTCGAGTGGCAATATGAGATATTTAAAGCTTTAAATTTCAAAAACCTGTACACAATGCAACGAAAATTTCACAGTGTTGCAGTAGCCAATAAAAAGCTATGTGAATTCAATAAAACAACGGGAAAAAACCCAAATCAGCCTGCATGTCTTTCTTTTTAAATGTCTCCTAATGCTTTACCATCAACATCAACCAATGAATGTACAAAGATGTGTAACCGATGAATAGCCTTTATATATTTTTGAAGGATCATGTGACACTTAAAGGGATAGTTCATCAAAAAATTAAAATTCTGTCACCACTTACTCACCCTTTGTTCCAAACCTGAATGAGTTTCTTTCTTCTGTTGAACACAAACAAAGATATTTTAAAGAACGGTGTGAATCAAACAGTGGATGGCATTGACTTCCATAGTAGGAAATAAAAATACTATGGAAGTCAGATATCTTCGTTTGTGTTCAACAGAAGAAAGAAACTCATACAGGTTTGGAACAACATAAAGGTGATTAAATGATGACAACATTTTCCTTTAAGACTGCAGTAATGGCTGCTGAAAATTTGTCGTTTTATAATAGGCTATTAGAATTTGTAATAATGTTTCACAATATTACAGCTTTCACTGCGTTATTTAAAAACATTTTTTAAAAATCTTAATTATTCTATACTTCCATATATTTCCCAAATGGAAATTAATTAGGCTAATTAAAGGGTGCTACGTCTAAGCAGGCTATAGGCCTAACATTTATGGGATAGGCTATAGAGAATATGGATTGATCTTCATTTAGCTTAAGTAAACAATGCGACCATAAGCAAGAAAGACCCTAATTTCCTGCATTAATTAGACTATCGTTTAACATCAAAATGCACTTTAGGTGTTGTTAGACCCTTTTGCTGCCTAATCACTCTTTTCAAAACTGTGGGAATCCCCATCTCCATATAGGACAGCTGCACTTCAGTCCTAAATGTGTCAGAGAAAAATAAAAGTTGTAGGCTATTCATCGATTTTCTGGCACCTGACTGAAAAAAAGGTCGAGTTTACTCATCCTATAGGAAAAATCGCCCGAGGGAGAACAAGGGGGTTATTCTTTACATCGCCTTGGCAGTCTGTCAAAACGGCATCTTCAATTTGCATTGCGCGCGAGCTGCTTTTAAGTATGACGAGCATCCTCCGCTCCACCAACTCTTGTTGTGTGTAGTGGATTTTACAGTTCTTATCTGCAGTGGCGTCATGCCCATTCAAAGTGAGGGGGCACGTGCCCCCTCAGATTTTTCCTCCCTGATAATTTTTTATTTCTTCAGTCTTGTTATAATCAGATTCAGCACGTTGTTCGTCTTCAATCCGCAGCGGCGCCGAGCAGAGCGCACGTCAGAAACAGGACAGGGTGTGTGTGTGTGTGTGTGTGTGTGTGAGTTCATCTGAGCCGCATTGGTCTGTCACTGCTCGTCAATGTCAGAAAATTTGAGATGACCAATGAAATCAAAGTAGGCGGGCTTTATGTTCACAGAAGCTGAGCGCGAATTTTAGCAGTGAGACTCGACGCTTCAGTGTACAGTCAAGTGCGAGATGTAAGTAGCTAAACTAAACATTTCATATTTGACAGTTTTTTTAGTTCATAAATGTTAAACGAATGACAAAAATAATCAGGCACACGAATATACTTTTGTCTAATTTCGCCATTTTGAACTGAAAATAGGCCTACGTGACTCGTAAGGCTAATTAGTTTACTGTCATTGTGAGGGGAAAAGCCGTTTTCATTGTTAGGCACAAGATTAATAATGAATGTGTACATATTGAGAATTAATATAGTACAATTTGTAGCCTTAAGTAAATTAAAAAAGCTCAGCTTTAGGAGGGGAAGACAAGATCAGGAGACTGAGAGAAAAAGAAAGAGTGATGAATAAGAGGTGAGAGCAGGTATTGACAAATAATCTACTGTCCGCTGACATGGTTTTAAGGCTATTTCTTATCCTTTTTTTTGGCCTTCAAACGTCTTGAAATGCACATATCAGAGAAATAAAAAATTTGAACCCCCTACCCACCTCAAATTTAGGACCTCTTTGATTATAAAGCCCTGTCTACGGCCCTGTATTAGGTATAAGATCAATAATGAATGTGTACTACTGTGAATGAATTTAATAAACTTAGTTAGGCTACCTAGCTTTCCTAGTAGCTTTCAGTAAATGAACTCGTCTGAGAAAATGAGTTGACCCTATGTTTACTTTCTTCACTGACAGACAAAAATGAAAAGCCTATCAGTCAAAGCTCAACTTTAGGAGGGTAAGAGACAGGGCAAGAGAAAAACAAAGAGAAAAAGTGTGATGGAGATGAGAGAAAAATAATCAGCTGCGTGACATGGTTTTAAAGCTGTTTGTATCCAGTTTTTTTGGCCTTCAAAACATCTTATAATGCACATATAAGATACACATATACTTTAACTTAGTCCTCAGATAGAGAAGCGTTGCTGCTAGCTCCGTTAAGGTATTTCTGTCCCTCCCAAACTGCATTGAAATAGTATGTTTCGCAGCCAGAATTAAAAAATGTTCAGGGGGAGAAACCCCCTGACCCCTCCTAACATGATCCATATCACCCGTCGGAAAACAATTGCAACGTCTCAGATTTTGCCCCCCCAGAATTTTGGCTTGCATGACGCCCCTGCTTATCTGTATAGTGGTTAATTTGGTGAAAAAAGTAAATTAATAATTTATTTTAAACCAAAGTGGTTCCTCGGGTCGCGCAACAGATGTTGAGCTTTTTATAAGCCGCGAAACACTTTAGCGGCATTGAGGGCGCCGTTGCCACGGCATGAATTGCACGAGGCGGGGGCTTTTTTCTTATTTGGGCTCGCGCTTCACTCGTGCCAAGAACCAGAGCTATGGGAAATATAACCACCGTGAGTAAGCTCGTTAAAGGTAGACAGCGACAATAACGCGAGCAGCTAAGTAGCCTTTATGTGTAAGGTTGAGCAAGCAAAGAACGGGGAATAACACGCAAGAGAAATGCGACATTAAAACGGCATTAGAGGAAACTTAAGTGGCACGTGGTTAGTGCGATCGCGAGACTCCAGGAACAGCGTCGCGCGGGATCGGTTCACAGCAACTAGGGAAATATTTTTAAAGCATTACAGTGAAAACAATGTTTAAACCTCATTATTTGTATATTTGCATGAACGGCAGTGAAAAACTAGTATCTATAACTTGTCACTCAGCCCATCTTATTATGTTTGTTAAGCCTGGTTTAATTTGCAATCGCCCCACACATGCCCAGCACTGCATTTCTCCTGAGAGTGGACCAGTTGGACCTTTGCATATTGAACCTTCCTAATAATGTGGCACTGATTGAGGCCTTTGAAATGCAGGCATGGGTCTGAAGCGGGTCCATGGGTGGATGGTGGATTGGTTGGACCTGACAGCTCTAAGCATGGTGATAGGGGCTGCGTTCCTGCATGCCTCGGGGTCTTTAGTGTGAAATGCCAGGGTAAACTTAGAGATGGTTCGGTTGCAATGACATGGCTGTGGCACGGGTGCCCGGGAGCAGCTGGGCAAGGTTGGCACATGATTGCCATTGGGAGTTTGTGCCGCAGGGCATCGCCAGCTTCCAGTGCTTCAGTCGGATCCCACAATTCTCCATTACAATTGTACATTAAGTTGCCTTCACTTCACATCCAACCCACAATATCTACAAAACCCAGAGCAGCTGTAGATATAAAAGGACACTGCCAGACAATGTGTGTCTTATTAAAAAGCAAAAAAATTAAATTTGGAAATCATTACTTTTAAATACCCTATTTTCACACTTTTTACATATTATGGAGTACTTTGTTTTCTTTTTAATTAAAACGTTTTCAAACAGAGTGTGGTGACGCAAAGCACCCAGGGTTTTTGTAGTGTCCATTCATGGTACATTATAGCATGTTTTTATAGCAAACTGCTCCTGGTTTTAGAAGAAAACCAACTGCGATTATTATTTACTTCCATGTTGTTCCAATGCCAATGTTATTTTAGTTTTTTCAATGGAACATAAAAGGCTAAATGGAAAATCTTCTGTTTTTTATGCATCTTGTCAAGCTCATAAAATACATAAAACACTAAAAGAATCATCAAGGTATAATCAATGTGACTTGAACTATATTACAAGTTTTCTGAAGTCAATACTCAAGATTGCAAGGCAAAGCAATTTTATGGCTCAATTTTAATTCAAGTAGGCCTACTTAAAAGCATCCTAAAGAAAATGAAATGCATAAGAGTCAAGTTCATTTAGGAATATAAAAATGATATACAAACACATACAACGCTTGATTTTAAATCCAAATGAATATGTATACATTAAAGGACATTAGCCTACTGCAATTAGTGTTTATTCACTGTTGCACTCTAATGCATTTCTCTGTCGCTCTCATGTGGATGCACAAATGCATGTGATTTTCGGTCCTGGTTTTTGACCTGTGGGATGCGCAAACATATTAATTAGACATTATAGATTAAAGCCTGTGAGATGCAGGTGATGTCACATAACAACTCTAATTGCATTAATTAGGGTAATTAAGGCTAGAC